GGTTTCAGCAGCGGCTGAATCTGGAGCCAGTTCCGACTTACGTACAAATTCAACTTAAGAACAAACCTATAGTCTCTATCTTGTACGTAACCCGGGGTCTGTCTGTATTGCACAATTACTAGAAGATTAGCTCTGCTAATTAACCAATTTTTGCCTGTCCCTTAAATGGCCACTTAAAACAGTTTTCAGTATCATAAGCAGAAGTCTGACAAATTGCTACACACCAAACTCATGACAAGACAAAGCACTAAAATCTTAAATAGTATAGTAAATATTTAAACAAATGAAATTTAAATGAACTAAAATTTTTCTCACAAGTTTAACTAAATAAATACCTGAAAGGTTGTGATGTTGATCTGGTGTGCAATTTCATATCTTCCAGCCTACAGTAATTAAAGCAGTCATCACACAAAACATTATGAAAGCATAATTTCAATTTTTCTAATAAAGATATGAACAAAGACTATGATCTGGGCAATGTTATTATTTATGTGCTGCATACATAAACTAAAAAATGTTTCATATAAATTGTGAGATGCATCATAAAAATATATAATTTTAAAATTGTACTCTTGAAACATTGTTTTTCAACTAGATCAATCAAATCTACAATCAGCTGCCATCTCCTGTCCTACAGTACCAGCTTCATATATTAATAAGAAAATTCTGTGATAAAAAGCTGACTATCTAGGTACTTATACTCTCCTCCTCCTCATAGTATATAAACTTAAAGAACAGAAATAAAACCTCTATTCCTTTTTCACCTGTAATGGAAGCCTGCAAATGTTAAAAGATCATGTGTGTGTAAATCTGGGTGAGTTTACTATGGAAAAGTTACATGAAAGATAATGTTTGCATTTCCTTCTGGATGTTAGGAGTACTACTCATGATGTCTTCAGCTTTAAAAGACTTCTACTAGAAGTTGCACAATAAGTTTAAATAACGACTTTGGCATTAAACTTTTTTCACAGACAATGTTTTTACAGTTATATCTAAAAATAAGAACATTTTTGAGCAGAAGAGAATACTAAACATTTTTTGTTATGTGCCATTACTAAGCCACAGCAAAGCATTTTGGCTTCAACTGTTTACATTTTAAATAGCACTTGGTTTAACTGTTACCCTTAAAAGCTATCATTTAGTTATGGAAAAATATACTGCCAATTATTTTAATAGGAATGTCAACTTTTATATGTTGAGTTAAGTGTTAATTTACAATATAACAACAAATGACACTTTAGATTTTTTAGATGAAATTTTCAAAATTTTTATTTGAGCCTGATAGTACATGGTTATTTTGGTAGCAGCAAAAAGAAAGAGAAAGAAATGGAAAGGAATGTAAAAGAACAAAATATAAAATTGTCTGTATTATATCAATTCTTTCTGAGAAGACTTCTGGTATAACTAATAGAGGCTCAGGCATAGTAAAAATCTCTTTATTGCTGTACTGGTAGAGAGAATAATTCCAGCTCCACTCTTTAAAGTTTCCCCAGTTTTGCATCTCTTAGCTTTTAGAACTCCTACCATTTTTATCTTCTTTAAGTGTTCACATATGAGGAAGCAACCCTATCCACCTGCTGAAGGACAATATGTGGCATCTAGTTTGGTGCCTGCCACAACTCCCAAGGGTTCACTTTTGAGAAATATAAAATATTATCTTTCCAGTAATGAAAGGGTACTACATCCCAGTTCATAACAGGGAACAGGAAATTGAAATCCATTCTCCTATGTGTCTGCACAGAGAACTTCCATTAGACTACTCCTCTTTATCTAAAATGAATTTCTCCTTCTTGAAACATAGACACTGGTCTTTTACTTGGCTTAATTAAAATTCTGAAGGCTCATGTTAAATTGTATCAGTAAACTGTTACAGTTATGAAAGCTTTTACACCAGGAAGCAGTATCTGCCTCCCACAAATACAGTCCAACCAAACAGCAAGGATATCAGCTGCTAACATTAACCAATCTAAAAGGGTGGTTTTGTTTGATATTAGCATATGCTGCCTCTTGAGCTTTTGAAGGGCGGTGTGAACAAACTTGATAAACAAGTAAATCTGAAGAAGCTTTGAAAACAAAAGCTTAAGATTGCGCAAACAATTCTGGCAGAAAGCAGTGAACTTTATAGTTAATAACAAATCTGTATAAATTTAACGTTTATAGTGGGAAGAAAGTGAAGTTAGTATGGCGGACTAAGCACAAGACAAAGAGCTAGAAACTTGAACTCAACTATTAAATATTTATTGTTTGTATTACTATAGCATATAGGGCCCTTAACACCAGCTCAAAACCTAATGACTTCTGCAGTCTTAGGCAAGTAATTCACCCTCTCAGTTTCAGATTCCTCAGTGGAGCACCTAACTAACTCACTGTAAAGTTGGCAGTACTAATGTTTGTAAAGTAATCTAAAAATGATAAGGTCTACATATCATTACTTATAATAGGAAACAAACACACAGAGGAACATATGCTTGTCATAAAGAATTAATACACAAAGTATTTAATAATATAACAAATTGGAAGAGGGTTACCTCAGAGCACCAGTTGTAGCAGATCGAGGCTGTCTCTGACTTTTTAAGGCACGAAGTTTGTCTCCCTGTGTCATGCCATTCTTAGATTCCAATTCTGCACTGCCTTCGTTGTCATTCTAAAAGAAAGGGAAGGTGCATTCTTATAAAAATACAAAATCTTCAGAACAATCATCTTACTTCAGTGCCACAAAGATTACTTCTGCTTTGCAGAGACAACATTTTAAGTCAGATAGCGCAATTACAAACAAACTAGGGCAATACTACCTAGATGATGTGTGCATAACTGGTCGGAAAACCATCCTCACAGAGTACATACCAGTGATTTATGTCAAGCCGGAAGAGCTTATTGAGTGGGATGCTACAGGGTTCAGTTATATGCTCAACTCTGTTCAATCTCTCTCTATATATACATATATTTTAGAGGTCTGTGCGTACATCTGTGGTGTGTCTGCAAGACCATTTGTTCAAGAACTCTCCTAGCTCCCAGTAAGAGCTAGGACCACCAAATTTGGTATGCACTTTCCTTTTTGCTTAATTTAAAACATCAGGGTTTGGTTGTCCGAGGAAAACCAGAAGTGCCAGGAAAGGGACTGTAGCCAGAAGGGCTGGGGCTCTGCCATCTTGCCTGTCAGCACACTGTGTAAGTAGCTTCCCTACCCCCAGCCCTCCCCCCAACCCAGACCTTGGCTGCAGCACCAGAGGAAGAGAAAAAGGGCAATCTCAGGAAAGTCTGGAGGGAGAAAAAAGGCTGCTGGTGGCCGGGGGGAGGGAGGGGGAGAGCGGGGCTGGTGGGAGAGAAAAGACCTGTGCTGGATGGAACCCATAACTTAAGCTCCTCCTCACCCCCCCAATGCTCAATCTTGCACCCTTCAGCCTCCTGCACTGGCCCCTCACATCTCCAAGGCCCTACCCTGAATCCTATACTTCCCCCGCCACAGCAAGAGCCCTACCCTGAAGGACCCGGGGAACACCAGGTAAGTCTTTTAGTATCTTCATAAATGATTTAGATAATGGCATGGGGAGTACACTTGTATCCATTGATGTGGATATCCATGGATCATTTTTGCAAATGCAGATGTGGATACAAATTTTGTATACATGCAGGGCTCTACTTACCAAGTTTGTGGACCAAACTTGGAGGGGTTGCAAGTGTTTTGGAGGACAGGATAAAATTCAAAATTATCTGGATAAACTGGAGAAATGGTCTAAAGGATGAAATTCAATAAGGACAAATATAAAGTACTCCGCTTAGGAAGGAACAATCAGTTATACACATACAAAATGAGAAATGACTGACTAGGAAGGAGTATTGAAGAAAGGGATCTAGGGTTTATAATGAATCACAAGCTATTACTCAACAGAATACTACTGTTGCTGAAAAAAGAAAAAAGGATACATCATTCTGGGATATATTTGCAGAAATGTTGTAAGCAAGACAAGAGAAGTAATTCCTCTCTACTCTGTGCTTATTGAACCTCAACTGGAGTACTGTGAGCACTCCTCGGATTGCCACATTTCAGGAACGATGTGGACAAAAATGGAGAAAGTCCAGAGGAGAAGAAGAATAAAAATGACCAAAAGTCTAAAAATATATGGGAAGATAAAATGGGCTTGTTTAGTCTGGAACAGAGAAGAGAGAGGGGACATGACAGTTTTCAAGTACAAAAAAAATTATTACAACGAGGAGGGAGAAAAATTATTCTCCTGGGGACGGGACAAGAACCAATGGGCTTAAATTGCAGCATGGGAAGTTTAAGTCCTGTCAGGATGGTTAACCTCTGGAATAAATTGCTTAGAGAGGCTGTGGAATCTCCATTAGACATTTTTAAGAGCAGGTTAGACAAACTCTTGTCAGAAATGATCTAGACACTAGATACTTAGTCCTACCAAGAGTGCAGGGGACTGGACTAGATGACTTCCCGAGGTCCCTTCGGCCATGTCTACACTACAGAGAAGATCAAAGCTGCCGCAGTCAATCTTCTGGGATTTGAGTTAGCGGGTCTAGTGAAGACACGCTAATTTGAACTGTGAAAGTGTTCCTGTCCATGCTGGTAGTTCTGCTTCTACGAGGACTAAGAGAAGTTGAAGGAAGAGTGTGCTCCCCTCTACTTCCCGCTGTGTGAACTTCCCGAAGTATCTTAACATCAACATTCAAGTTAAGATACTTCGACTCAAGCTACACAATTAACATAGCTGAAGCTGAGTATCTTAATTCAAACTTATCCCCTAGTGCAGAATGGAGCTTCCAGTCCTACAATTCTATGATTCATTGAATCATGGCATGCTGCTATGCCTGTGCATTATCCCACTGACTTCAATGAAGCACTATGGAGGCATATATCCACAGGATACAGCCTTAATTATGTACTGAGTCACAGATCAGTGACATAAAATACTGGAAACTAAACAGGAAATATTTTGTAGTGGATATTTTAATAGCATATACAGGATTTGATCCTACCCTAACGAATTAAAGGAATTTGCCATTAACTTCAATGGGAGCAGGATATGATCGATACAGGCTGTCCCCGGGTTACGTCCAAGATTGGGACTGTAGGTTTGTTCTTAAGTTGAATTTGTATGTAAGTCGGAACTGGTACATATTGTAGGGGAAACTCTAGCCAAACATTTCTCCAGAGCTCAGTTTTATTCTCCCACACCTCACTTCCCTCAGTCCTTTATTCTCAAGCTGAGGTGTCTGCTGAGAAAAGCCGCTCTGCGTCTCCCTGGTCTTCTGGGGGGGGAGGGCTAGCTTCGCGTCTCCCTGGTCTGCTGGGGGGAAGCAGCTAGTGCGGGGTTGCCTCACCCCGTTTGTAAGTAGGGATCTGATGTAAGTCGGATCCATGTAACCCGGGGACTGCCTGTACTGAGGAATCTAATAAGCTACAGATCATCTTCCATTGATCTTTGAATTTAATTAAAAAGTAGTACAAGTTAATGTATTTCTGACTCAAGATCCTCTGTGTAGCAAAAGTTAGGTATATTTCCCACAACATTAAAAGTATGATCCAAAAAGCCCTTTAGTAAATAGCACAACAGGAAGAATAAAGAAAGCAAAAATTAAAATGCCTTAAATTACAATTCGATTAGGAAAAAAATATGAAAAATTGCACACTATAAAATGAAACAAGAAGAAAAAGTATGTCTGGTTCCAAGAGCCCAGAAAGTTTGCTCTAGGGATGTGAAAGTGTAACATTGTATGTGATCAACCTTCATGATTACACACAGACTCCCTGCACACAGAAGCTCCCAGAGAGCTGTCTACCCCTTTTCCCCCATGCCTGGGGTGGGAGAAGGCAGTTGGGAGCAGGTATGTGCAGGGAGACCACTTTTAAGTTAGTTTCCCACGTATACAGGCTCCTGGGGAATCCCCTGCCCCCCACATGTAAATTTGAGACCTCTTGGGTATTTTAGGCATGGGCAAAGATTTTTTCTGAAAACTTGTAAACAATATCTTGTGAATGCCTAATTATTCTGATACAAAGGAAAACAGGAATAATAGTAAAGCTCAGGAATAATGTAATGACCTGAAACATCAAAAAAGGAATTCTGCAAAAAGTGGAAAATGGCAAATTGCTAAGGAGCACAAAAGAATAGCACAACATGTAGACGCAAAATAGGAACAGCTAAGACAAAATACTTTAAACATAGTAAGGAACATAAAAGGCAAGGAAAAGAGGCTCTACAAACAAATAAACTAGGATCAAGAGAAATGTGAGGGAAAGTGCAGGTCCTCTGCTTAGCTGGAAGAAGAGCTAATAACTGATTACATCAAGGCTGAGATGTTTAATGCCTATTTTGCTACACTAAAGACAGTGGACCAATGAGAAAACCTCTCCACACCTTTGCTCTGTGATCAGAATCACAAAAAGTACATGGATTCATTTACACTCCTTGCTAAGTATTTGAAAATCAGCCAGCTGGAGAGGAGTACTGTGGCTACTTAAGTGATTGGGAGAGCAATTAAGTGCTACCTTGTATAAAAAAGCACTACTGGGAAAGTGTAGGTGATAGAATAATTCAGAATTATATTGAAACCAGAACAAAATCTAGGTTTCAATAGAACTGGCTGGAAAACTAAGTTGACTGAATCAATGAACTTGTCAAAGAGTCACACAAGGCATGCCAACTTCTAGTTCAGTGAGTAGTGGCCAGCTTTTGGGTTTTTTGTTTTTGTTGTTGTTTACCTACTGTCCTCTCCTCAAAATACTAAATAGCAGATAGTTACCATATTCTTTAGCCAACGTATTTACCAATGCTGCTATTCTCATTCTATCTTATCAAGATTTTAATCTTGAATTTACTTTTTGAAATAGATAACAAATAAGCTTTAAGTTTCTTTGTATTATTTATCATAAATATTCACGTGGTCCAAATATTTTTCCTCTGAATCTATAAATTCATTATAAATTATTTTTCCTTTATCATTATTGAACACCAAGAACATTCTTTTTATTATCCTCATTTAATATGTGTATTTTTAAAAGATCCATTTTCTTCTTCAATTCATATGTGATTTTAACAGTCATTATACTATGGAAAAAAAGCTTTAAAATTGGATATAGTTCATTATTAAAACTTATGAGTCCCATCCTTTTGGTGCATGATTCTACCAGTGAATGCTAACCTCCCCACTTTGTTCTAAGTTTTATGCTTTACTAAAACTCACACTGATTGAAAGGTCATCCAAACTAGAAAGAATTTTATTCACAGTTCCGTCATCTTGGATCCACAATGTTGCTTGCTTCCTGTTTAAATTAAACCAAAACCAATTAGTATCAACAACAAATTTACATGCAGCCAGAACTAGTGAGACACATCAAACCATCAACTGAAAATTCTGTCTTTCATATATACTCATAAATACATCCTATAATTAATGGGTACATCTCTTCTTTGGTAATAAATAAAAAAGTAATGGCTCAGATATGAATCCCTGTATGGTTATGTGCGTCAAATATATATATTACATCTGTCTCTTTTCCTCCAAAATACTTCAGGTTTTTGTTTAAAAGAAGCTTATCTGAATCAGAAAGACAAACAATGTACTGCAGAACCCAGTCATTTTGGAACAACATGTTAAAACCACACACATACTACACTAGGGATGTAACCGAAAAGCCTCAGCTACCCGCAGATGGCCTCCCATGGAGCAGCCTCTGTCCATGGCAAGCTTGGGTCTGCCGCGGACAGAGGCTGCTCTGTGGCAGCAGCCCCTGTCCACAGAGGGTCTGATCTCTCTGTGGACAGAGGCTCAGACACCCTTCTCCCCCAGCATCGTAGGGGCTGCTACTGTGGACTAGCCTCTTTCCGCAGGGAGCTCAGACTTCTGGTTTTTAAATTGGCTCCCCTCGCAGACCAGCTCCCGCCTGCCACCCCACACTGCTGCTTCTAATTCAGAGGCAGCAGTCGGAGTAGCAGGGTGCTCCCTGGGGTTGGGGCCAGGAGTGCCCTGGCTTCTGTCCCCGCCTCAGGGGATTATTGAATAGTCGTGTCTGCTAAGATTTCATGTAGTTACACGACTATTCAATTACAATTTCTAACATCCCTAACATACACAATGATCTTGCAAACTGTATATAGATTAAACTGGAAGTTGTTTAGTACAAAAACTGTTTTTGTTGTGTGTATGCATAAATGCCTACCACAATCTGTAGCTTTTAGACTAGGGATTTAAAATTTTGATTATTTGGCTAATCAAATAGTCGATGCAATTCGCATTGACTATTCAATTAGTCAATAAGGGCACTTTTGTCTTCCCCAGGCCTATTGCTACACTTCAAAAGTGAAAGTGCTGTGGGGAGCATGGGGCCAACAGGGGAATCGAGCAGTCCCCGGCTGGTCCTATGCTCCCCGAGGTGTTTCAAAGCAGCAGTGCTGCACGGAGCCGAGGTCAGTTGGGGACTCCGAGTCTTCAGCTGACCTGAGGCTCCATGTGGCATTTCAAGGCGGCAGGGCCTCATGGACCCTGGAGTCAGCAGGGGAGTACCCAGCGGACCCCAGCCTCCACACGGCGCTGCCACTTTGAAATGCTGTATGTAGCCTGGGCCAGCTGAGGACTCCCAACAGCTGGGTTGTACGCAGCATTTCAAAGCAGCAGCGCCAAATGCAGTGGTGCCGTTTTGAAGCACACCTTTTTCTCTCCCACCCGCCGCTGCATCTTTCTGATAGAGGCAGCAAGGGTGAGGGAAGCGACTAGTCATTCACATCCCTATTATAGACACTACTGTGTTCCATTTTAGTAATAATAATGCAGAGGAGATGACAATGAGAATTTTTAGTATCACATTTCTGTTAGGAATTTTCTCCTTATTCATAACAAATAGATAACACTTCTCTCATGTGGAATTTGCAGATTGAACAACGAGGCCCATGCTTCAATTCAGGCTACCAGATGAGATTTTGCAACACTACAGCAACACCAGGATCTGAGTATTAGCATTCAACAACAACTTGAAATTATATTAACAAGAGGCAATTACATTTTTAGTCTCTCTCTAAACATTCATTTTGGTACAAATTGTGTTTTAGTCATTTACCAGACGTTCATGCTAGTTGAATGAAGATGGAAGCTATTATCAAAGAAAATGATTGGGTAAGAAATGTTTTATATTGCTGCATAGGTAATCTCCTCATTCATAACAAATGGAAAGTAGTGATACACAAAAATGTGGAGGGTTAAGTGATGGGTTAGTAAGTAAAGTACTAATTATTATAGTAGAATAAGCAAAAACCTGGGCCTCCCAATACAAGGCAAAAGCGCTGTAATTTAAAGAACTATTTGGAAACACAGTAGCATCCTCCTACCAGAGGATGCTTCTGGCAGAGGAATAGAAACCTTTGACTTTCTTCTTCAGGTAGGGCCTAGACACTTTCATGTCACAATTTTTAGAGGTTTAGGAATGCCTAGTTATGCCAAAGAAATGCTGAGGATTAGAACAAAATCATAGGAGAACTATTTCCCAGGAAATGTTTTAAGAACCACCTACCATGGGCAGAAAGATTCCTGGGAGCTGTAAGAATAATTTTTTCTTCATGATAAAAGGAGCGTGGGTTCTTGTGATGGCAACTAGAAAGGCCACACACAAGCTTTTCTAATCTGATATTATTTAATCTTGACATCATTTGGAGAGTCCAATATACCTGCATAAAGAATGCTGGTAGGGCTGTTACCTACTTTTCTCTGATGAGTCCTACAATCCTGGGGGAACTCTAGTGTAGCTCATGTGCAAAATTTCATGACGATTAAAAGCTGTATTACAGAAACATCTATAGGCTGCTTCCAGCTGTGGGCACTGTAAAAATATAACATAGAACATCCCTGCCCCAAAGTAATGATTGTTTGTCGTCATATCAGAAATTGCATTTGACAAGACCAAAAATATTTTCTAGCTGAGTTCTGTCTTGATTCCAAAATGTACCAATAAAATTAATGAAGAACTGATGTGTTACACTTTTCCTTCAACATCTGGCTGCTAACAGTGATTGGTCTATGTATGGACGGAGAAGAGGTCCTTGCTGTGAGAGGTCTGGTTCTTTGTTGCACATAGAAAGGAGATTCTTTGACTGCTTAACAAGTCCAAAACAATTGTCTTTTAGACCAATGGTGGTCTTGAAGGAGACTTCATTTCTCTAGATTTAAAGACATTAGATTCTTTTTGTCTTCCATTACCTCAGTCAAGGTCTGACTGTTATGGGGTACAGGGGCTCACCCCGCCCCGGGCAGTCCCGCCGCCCCGTTCGCTGTCTCAGTCACTCCCAGTCTTCATTAAACGGTGCCCGGTCAACCCTCCCTTCGGTCGCCCAGACGACCCCTCGAGCGAGGAGGTGAGGGGGGTCCGGGCCCACCCTCTCTCCAGACCCCAGCCCAGGGCCCTAAGGCGGGGGAGACTAACCTCACTCCCCCAACCTGGCTGATGGGGCACAGAGCCTCAACACATCAGCCCGCGGGCTCCAGTATGCACCCGCCCTGGGCTGCTTCCTCACACCCTCGCTCATCCGCTCACCAGTCGGCTTGTCCCGCTGCTTCCTCGTGCCTCTCAGTCCCTTCATCCGGCGTCCTCCTCCTCGCCTCCCCTTCCCCTTCTGGCTCTGCGGGTTTTATACCTGGGGAGGGTGCCGCCCTCTCCCTTCCAGAACGCCTGCACCGGCGTTCGCCCGCGGCTCCACCCTCTCCTCCCCAGCTGTCTCCACTCACCCCCGGCGTCCTCCTTGCCGCTGGCATCAGTGGGGAATAGGCCTTGCCTGGGGGCGTTTACAGGGCCGCCCGCTCCGAGGCTGGCGGGGTGGCATTCCTCCCCCGTTGCCACCGTCTCTCCCAGCGCGGGGGGCACTTCTCCCGTGGTGCTCGGGGCCGTGCCAGTCAAGCTGCCTGCCGAGCGGCATGTCCCCGCTGCCCCGCCAGCCCCGTCCCTGGCGGCGGCGAGAAAAGCCACGCCGCTTCTCCCTGCCTCGCTGGGGGGTGGGTACCCTTAGTGCGGGGTTGCCTCACCCCGTCACACTGACCTTTAGTTATTCGCTGATTTTGGAATGGATTCAGGATTTAGGGCAACAAGCTAATTTTTAAGCCAGAGGAAGGCAGAGAAAACTTCCCATATGGGAAAGCTGTTCCATCAAATTCACTACAGAGTTTGATGCACCTTCTTCCAAAGCAGCTGCTAGTCTGGTTATGGTCATACAGAACACTGGACTCAATGGACCATAGTAGTCAATCTTGCATGGATATTTACTTTTTTTTTCAAACATGCAACTGATAGATCTCTCAAAATTAAGTAAAAAGATGCACAGCCTGAGATTTTGTAAATTTGTACAGTAGAGGGTGAGAGGTGGAGAAAGTGTTAGATGATTCCTTTTTTCTAAGTGAGGAATCATAACCCCAGGCTCACCTAGTCTTTCACATACACATCCCATATTGTGAAGCTTGTTTCCACAATGAGCATGTAAAGACTCAGAGTGAACCTGGATTGGCTTTTAGTATATTGTCTGTATTTACCTCACAAGAGACATTCAGCTATGTACTGGGAATGGTGCTTAACTTCGTATTGCATACAACAAGTGGTTCCATGATCTCATTAGGACTTTCTTGAGGAATATTCTGTGAAGTCCTGCTCAAGGAATGATATCAATACATATCAATAAACAGTGCTAGTAATCCTACCTGCTAGAGATAGCTGGTAAGGATGACTACTGTCAGGAATGCAATTAAGTTTTAGATTTTTGCAAATCTTTACAGTGGTGGTAAAATTATTCTTTGCAGCCAATGAGTTTGGAGCCATACCTCTTGACATATAAAAAAAATAGCCAACATGCTACTACAAGGATTTGACCAGAATGCGAAGCTGTAATCTTTCACATTGAAAACAAGAAATCTACACCTAGACAAATAAATACTTGCTAATCACCAAACGGATGGATGTTCTTTACTAAGTATAGGAAAGATTTTGATTTGAATGGCTACAGTTTAGGTTTAAAAATTTCTAAATGTCTTCCTTGCTCTTATTACCTATGGAAAGTCCTCTTTCTGAGGGTGTGATGTCTTTTCACTAGTGTGTGAATATATAGAAAATATAGGAGTATTTCAGAAGAAACATAGTACCAATCACTCAGTAAATCAGGAGCTAGTTTGAACATGAGAAAGCATTTCTCACTTACGTTTCTGTAATCCCATAGTGTAGCTGCACATGGAATGTGCTTGTACAGTAGGTACAGACTTCTTAAGGTGCTCCTTACAATCTAATGTGGAGCCAGC